CCACTTAAAGTTGTTAATTATGCCATTGGATGTTAAATTACTAATATAAGATATTTTAAATTACATGAAAATTAAAGACTTCATTTCGAGATTTAAATTTTTCCAATAACTTCTTCTCATTTAGTCAATCAATTTTATCGTTATGAATTGTCAAATATCACTAAATGATAGAAAAACAACAATAAAATTGATGTAAAAGCATTAATTTTCTTAGTAAAAGCCTTTTTGTCCATATTTTACATATGATTTCTAAGGTTACTTTAAGATGCACTATGTAACATTTTTAAGATGTTTTTTTTTTATTTTGGAGTACACTTTTGTAGTTTTTCGATAGTTGTGATACTTATTGGCCTAATGGCTTTTTCATCGCAACGTATAAATAAATGAAATGAAAACAAGCTCAATAAAAAAAAAAAACACCTGTGAATACAAAATATTGTTGAAAACAACTCGTATTCAAGTCTTTTGCTTTATGCAAAAAAAAAAAAAAAAAACTTAACAACAGTACCAGTCATAGCAATCGCGGCCGATATGAGGCTCAATGGTCTAGGGGTATGATTCTCGCTTTGGGTGCGAGAGGTCCCGGGTTCAAATCCCGGTTGAGCCCAGTGTTTTTTAACTATTGCAGTGAAATTAATATAAAAAATCAAAGGGTTACATTCAAAACAATTCTCAAAAATATTGTATTGATATTTATAAAAAATGTGTGATTTATTGGTTAAATAGTGGTAGAACAAGAGAAAACGTCAAAAAATCAAGGCCAAATCAGGATGACGCTTTTAATTAAATGTAACTAAAATATTTAAAATCCCAAACAATAACACAACAACCCCACATTGAAACTTTTTTGAGGTGGAAAATTCACAAACCTACTGGAAAATGTTAAGAAAATCTTAGAAATAAGTAATATGTTGGTACACTTATATTGAAAATTACCATTGATGAGGTATATTTTTATAAAATACTAGCTAAACACGGTGCGCTTCGCTACCCCATTCGATTTTACATGCATTCAAAAATTTTATCTACAAATATTTGTTGGTTTACAAATAAACAAAATAAGACAAATTCAAAAAAAAATTAAAAACTTGAGTCGAACCTGGAGAGTTTCTAGTGTATAATTCGCATATGCTAATTTGCAATAAGTTCGAAATATATACTACTTTCCAGAGAACGGCCCTTGTAAGCCATCATCCACATCAAATATGCCTGATGAGCCGCTTAACCAACGGCGAAACGCGTCGCATAGTGGTGAGTGTGTGATAGTGTCTATCTGGCTTTCCTTTTCACTGCAAATTTCAGATCATTAAGCTCGTCTCGAAAGAGAAAACAAACACTTAAATCATAAAACATATGATCTTCGCCTTAACAAGGCAAAACTCAAAAATTCAGCCGAGCCTGGCTGTGGGATTTGAACCGCGGACCTCTGTGTGCAGCCAACTAGAAGTTGCCGTCTCTACGTTCAGAGCCATTAACCCGTCTTCCTAAAGCAGCACTAAAACAAGTGTATGCATTGGAAGCAATGTAGTTGTTGTGGACAAAAAAAAATCCATCACTACAAAAACAAAACGTTGCTGGGAAAAAGATCTGCCAATAGAACTTGAGTCGAACCTGGAGAGTTTCTAGTGTATAATTCGCATATGCTAATTTGCAATAAGTTCGAAATATATACTACTTTCCAGAGAACGGCCCTTGTAAGCCATCATCCACATCAAATATGCCTGATGAGCCGCTTAACCAACGGCGAAACGCGTCGCATAGTGGTGAGTGTGTGATAGTGTCTACCTGGCTTTCCTTTTCACTGCAAATTTCAGATCATTAAGCTCGTCTCGAAAGAGAAAACAAACACATAAAAACGTAATTATTGTAATACTTTTATGCGTAAACAAACAAATAGCTCGGTCTACCAACGCATGAACATGCCAGGAAAAGCTGACCATGATAAAAGTAGGAACATGCCAAATTTAGTCCGCATACACGAGTGGTTTGTCCTTTGGATTTATTCATAGCAAATGCCAAGCGTGCAGGAAACTTCAATTATTTGAAGTTGAGAGGCTTATCTGGTGCAATTAAAGAATTCGAGGTAGCGTAATAATCGTATCCTCAATTAAATTGTTGTATAGCTTTTTACAGTCAGCCTAATACCATTGCAAACGCGTTGTGGATCAATGCTTCTTAATAAAATCATATCCCAATCTGAACTGATTTTATTATAATTTAACAAAATTTACTTTTAATTCCGTCACACCTTCCATATTTCATTGAAATTCGAGGAACATACTGTGTTTGACAAACTTATTTTTGTACCAAATTTAGTGACTCGTGGAATCGGATATACGTATTGTGTTTGGTGCATCAAATAAACGGAATCGGCCGAAAATACATATGGGAGCTATATCCAATCTGAACTGATTTTAATATAATTTGAAAACATTTATTTTCTGATCAAATCTCGTCGCACATTCTAAATTTCGTTGGAATCGAACATATATAGCGTGTTTGGTGCATCAAATAAACGAAATTGGTCAAAAATATATATATGAGAGCTATATCCAAATCTGTACCAATTTCAATGTATTTGGCAAATGTATGTATGTTCGATTTAAACTCCGTCACTCATTACAAATTACATTGGAATCGAACAAACCTATTGTGTTTGGTGTATCAAATAAAATAAATCGGTCGAAAATGTATATATGGGACCTATATCAAAATCTGAAACGATTTCAATATGATTTGGCAAATTTATTTTCTAATCAAATCCTGTCACTTATTTCCAATTTCATTAAAATAGAACATACATATCGTATTTGTATGGGAGCTATATCCAAATCTGAACAGATTTCAATATAATTCTTCCTTAAATTCTTCTTTAATTCTTCCTTAAAATGTTATAAGCATAAATTACATGCTCATTTCAACCAACATATTATTATTTTTTATTTTTGTTTATTTTTGTTTTAATGTTTAATTTTAATTATCTTTAAGATTAAGAATATTAAAAATAATTTTAGAGTAGTTATGTATAGAAGTTTTTGGAGCCGTCCGTGCCCTAGGGGCTAGGTAACTGTGTTAATTGAATATAAATAAAAAAAATAATTTGCAAAATGTATGTTCGTTTTAAATTCCGTTAAACATTCCAAATTTCATTGAAATTAGAGATACTTAGCGTGATTGGTGCATCAAATACATAAAATCGGAAGAATATGTATATGAGAACTATATCCAAATCTGAACCGATTTTAATATAATTTGGCAAAACATTTTTTAGACAAATTGCATCACACATTCCAAATTTCATTGAAATGTGGCGAACACATCGTGTTTAATGCATCAAATACATGAAATCGGCCGAAAATATATATGGAAGCTATATCCAAATCTGAACAGATTTTAATATAATTTGGCAAATTTATTTTTGTTCCAAATTCTGTTATGCATTCCAAATTTGGAGACTGTATCTGTAATCTATCAATAGATATGCATATATAAAATCTGAATTTTTGGGAGGTACCTCCGATTCTGATGCCATATCTCCAGTTCCAAGTGAAATTTCAAAAATTTATATAGCCTATGTTACTTTCAGGTGATGTTGTAGTATACTTGAAAATTTTGAGGAAAATCTGTTCAGCGGCTTTCGAGTCCATAAATTACAAACATAAAAACATTTTCCTCTTTTTTACATATATATATTCACTGAGAAATAAAAATATAAAAAATTGAAACCCTGTGAAATATTTTAGAAGCTAAGGTTATAAAGATGCTAAAACCAAACCTTGAACGACTTTTGACCATTTATGAAGAAATCAAAAAAAAAATCAACAGGAAAGTAAAAAAGGATCCCTGGAATGGGCTCTCCGAACCCGTTAGCTTTCTGTCATAGTTGCACCCATTGAGGACTCAAAATAATTAATGACAAACTCTTCTATACATATTACATATTTTTTGGCTATACATTACTATAAACCCACATTCACCATTTGAGTTAAAAGGTTATTAGACAAGCAATGCATCCAAAATTATAGTCCGAAGTGAAATGATTCATAATTTTTATGCATTCGTTCTTCCATTGCTATTGAAATGCATCAATACGACAGTATGAAATAGTGTCGTTGCTTTAACGTGCACTCATTATTTTTGTTGATTGTCTTGAACACACAACAAATTGTAGGTGATGCATCAAAAATAACAAAACAGTTGTATCATTTATTTACTGTTCGTTGACATTCTAATGCAGTGCAAACAATGGAAGTCGAAATATAATAAAAACTGATAAGTGCGGCAATTTTTTTTTTGCTCAATGTAAGCCGTTGTTATAATTTTATAACTTACTTTTATATATTTTGTTAGAAAAAAAAATAAATAAGAAACTTGAAATAAACGTTCCACAAGAAAACCATTTATGATTAAATCAAGCAATAGTACGACCATTCGCATGATTCGCTATAGTTTAGTGGATTTTGTGAAATTTTCATAGAAAAATGCAAACTAATTGGCATATAACAAACATGAACCATGGACTGGTAGATTCTGCTGGTCATCCAAATCCTTAGTGATGCAGAAAGTACCGTTTTGGAACATCCAGAATAATTGCCCCTATTACAATAAAACACCAGGAGATTAACCGATTGGTAATAAAATCAGCACCGAGAATGTTGCACTTCGAGCTACCATAAGTTTTAGCTTCAGTAAGTTGAGTTTTCCAACGATATCCATCAACAATAGCAGAGTGCGGGAAAAGTGCCAAATTATCGTGTGTTTAATCCAATTCCAATTTCATCATCGATAAAATTACATTTCAATACCAAGATCATTAAAACACACACATACCGCTCCAAAAAAAATCTACACAGACCTATTATAACTGTTGCACTGTCAAAATAACACTGAACGAATATGCATTGGACCCAAAATACTAAATTGTAACTTTAGAGTTAAAAAATCTGGGTAGAACTTCAAAAATAACAAGTACTGTAATCTACCATTATAGTGGGACTATTAAAAACAGGAGTTCAAGTGTAAAATCACAGGCAAATCGGTTGGTTATTGGGAATTGAACCTTTACATCACGGAATATCAGGATGCTCAGCTGAACAATGGAATTTTTCTCACAGTTAGTTGCAGGAAGCGTTTCTACATACTGGTCTTAACATATAAGATACAAAACGTTGAGGAAAATTTTGAAGTCTATAATGTTGCAAAGCGGCATGAGTTGAACAATGTCGAAAATCATATCAGCAAATCTAAGAAATAAGTACATACATACAAAAATATGAAATAAATGAAACCAACTTACCAAGCTTAAAAAGTTAATTTTAATCTTGCTTATCTTAACTTATGTTAATTTCTATTCAAATGGGAATCTTGATATACTGTAATGATTTCACGAGTTTTTGAAGTTCTTACGATTATTTTTTCAATTATTTGCTTTAATTTTTTTAAGTTTGTGCTATTCTAAAAGAAACAAAAATATGAAATGTTAAAACTATGATTCCATAAAAGACAGAAAAATCTTACATTAATTAATTTTTTTAACTTGCATCCACTTCAATCTTCACCACCAGGGTCAAAATCGTTGTTGCCTTATAATACATTATCTACAAAATAAATTGCTTCACTATCACTTCCACAGATTATCTTAGAACTTTGTGTATCGAATGAATTAATTGCCTTTCGCAAGTCTGTCATTAGAGCCGTAACACTTATGCGATTTTTGGCACGTTCTCCGTTCAACCATGGATTGGTATTTTCTGTTGCGGTCGTTGATGGTTCCATAGCACGGTGTACACCACCACTCATGGTTGGATGTTGTGCCCAAAGCCATAGTTCACCTGCTTCGGCAGTGGTAAACAGCTTAGATGGATCGGAACGATGAAAACCAATATCAGTTATGGGACTAGTGTGGGCCGATAAATATGAGGCAGGATATCCTGGATTTCTTAAATCCCAAACCGTAATGGAACCCTCTTCAGAGCCGGCCATCACAACATGTGGCTGTGTTGGATGAGATGTTAAGCAGGAAACATAGTTACAGCGTTTTTCATCTTCGCATGAGGTCATAAAGGCCGTAGTTGCAGATCCATCAGAAGACGATCTTATATCAAACATCCGTATAATACCCATACGATTGGCTGTCAACACTTCTTGGGGATTAACATAAAGAACAGATAGCAGTGAGCAACTATCGGCTTCTATGGAACGTCGCACAGCTAAGTGAGCCTGTGTATCGACAATATTTAAACGGCCATCTTCTCCAACTGTAGCCACATCTTTGCCATATACGGAAATAGATGAACAACTGGAACATTTGCCACTAGCTATAAAACTGTGTAATAGCTCACTATTGGCTTCCTTTAGTAAAACGTCTTCTTCCACAGCCTTTTTAATTCTAAACAAGGTTACGCGGCCTATTGAAAGAAGCCAGTGATTTAATAAAATACACCTAAATCTGTTTTTAAGACTTACCATCGCTACAACTTACTACAGCTGTATCGTCTGTAACAAATTCAATGCCCGTAACATCGCCATTCATAGCCAGCTTATCACTACATCTGGGAACAAATTCATTGTATTCCGAGCCATCATATTGATTCCGATGCAAGCGCCAGATACGCAAAAAATTCTTTGGCATATCCCAGCTACCGGTCAGAAATCTTTCGCTTTCACGCAGTTGCTCTGGTACCCAACGCACCTTGGAAATCTTTTCTGAGATGAAAAATGTATTGACTTTTGCATCAGCCATTGCTATATTTGTTGCAATTGTGTATTTTTTTCTGGAAAAATTATACCCCTCAACTTTTGTTTATTAGCAAACCGATTGTTTATTTAGGGTTATGCGTGCAAAAAGAAGCGGTAAACAGGAACATCTGTGTTGAAAGCTAAGTGTTGCCAACTAAAATATTTTCAATATGTTGGCCACACATAATAGACAAGAATATTGCTATGTTTACATTGGAAATCTGGTAGCAAGAATAGTCATTTGCATTTTCATCAACGCAGCTGAGGGAACAATAAACATTTTTCGAATTCAAAATTCTGAATGACAAATTATATAAATAAAATAAGGCTCAGGTTCCATCCATGGTACTATAAAATCAACGTAGGGCTATGATACCATATAATTTTAGTTTTCTTTTATTTTCTTGGCTTAATAAGTCAACTTTATTAATGATTTGTGTGTATAAAATGGATTTATAAATATAAATTTTGACAATGAGATGTTGTCAAATGAATAATTTGGAAAAATATTGTAAACACGTTATTCCATGACTTTACCTTCTTAATTCTACCGTGCTTTAATCGATATTTTTCCTTATTTTAAAAATGATTAAAAAAAACAAAAGATGAATTAAATTCGTGGATTTTGTTAAAAAAAAATGATCCAAACTGGACAATCTTTCAATGCCATGGCAAAACGGGTTAATATCTTTAATACGCATCTCGCATTGAATGTTTCTTCCAATAATTAATTTTGAAAATAATCTGTGTTTAATTTTCAAAGCAATAAAACATGCACAACTAGGCAGAATTCGAGCACTCTTAGATACAAATTGCAATCAGCTGGTAGCTCTACCTTACTTTTTTTTATTGTACTATGGTCGTGCATATTTAAGCTAAATCTGTTCCAATAAATCCGTAAAGGAAAACCTACTAATTTTTGAAGAAACATTAAAAACTTTTTTGACATATCAATGTCCTCAAGCGTTGATGCATCTATCTGGGTTTTTCTACCATGGTTTTTGTTGAGAGTGATTTGTTTAATTATAAATCGTTGTGGTTATTTTCCGCCTGCTACTATTTTTGGTCAAAGAGTAACACAAAACAAAAATCAAAAGTTTTTTCTTTTTAAGTCTAAAACAGAGCCAGCGATTCATTTTTGTTCATTCACACTGAAACACACATCAAATTAAGGACTGATTCTGTTTTAAGGAATTTATTAATATATATTTTGTGACTTAATATAAAGGGATATCAGAGTTGCTGTAGTTTTCCCATAGAATTTGACATTAATATGCCATGAATAGATAAATGGAAACATGGCTTTTAAAGACATACAAAACTTACTTTCTGGACAGTTCCAGCAGGAAAAGTAATCAGACAGACTTATACATGAAAATTAATTGTGGCCTGTTCGTTTCTTTAACTTAGTTGAAATAATGTAAAAACGGCCGATATTATGCCGACAAATGCGTAGTTGGCAACACAGACTGTATAAGAATTTTGGCGCGCTTTAATTATAAACATGGAATGTAAACAAAGTTTTTCGTCACATTCCTTCGTTGTAACCGGACGTTTAAGGTTGTTGATTGTTGCTAAAATTATACAAAGAAAATAAATCTACACAAAAATGCCACCACGCAAGCGTAATTTAAAGGTAGCGATGAATTCAAAAGATGAGGACAAAATGGTAATGCAAAATTTTTCGCAGTAGTAGACGTTGGTGTTTTCATTTTACTCTCCGTAGACCACACAAGATAAGGAAAATGAGGAAAACCCTGCAAAGAGACGTAGTACAAGGAGCACACGAAATACACGTTCCATGGCTGAAGAGGGAGCCACGGCATCGCCGGAAAAAGAAGAAAAGAAACAATTACCATTTGTTAAGTACAAAGGAGCTATTAAATATTTCACAGATGGTAATGAAATTGCCGAAGCCTCTGATGGTTTAATGTAAGTACAGTTTTTCTGAAATAAGTTTCCCATAATAATGAAATGTATTTCAATTATAGACAATTTGTTGAAAAACAACCTGGAGATGGCCTGGTACCCATCGCATTTGACATGGAATGGCCGTTTTCATTTAAAACTGGTCCAGGCAAATCCGCGGTTATACAAATCTGCGCCGAAGAAAAGTGTTGTTATATATTTCAACTGACGAATCTCAAGAAATTGCCTGCAGCACTTGTTGCCTTGCTCAAACACAAGCGGGTACGTTTGCATGGTGTTAATGTTAAAAAGTAAGTTTTACATTTCATATTTGATTAGAAATAATAACTTATGTATATGCTTTTAATGTGATTCTTTCTAGTGATTTTCGTAAGTTGGGTAGGGACTTCCCAGAAATTAATTCAGATGATTTAATTGTGAATGGCTTGGATCTGGGGGTTTGGTGCAATGAAGTATGTGAAACTGGCGGACGCTGGAGTTTAGATCGTTTAGCGAGTTATGTGGTAAGTTGTGTCGTACTTTTTATAAGTCAAGACAATCTTAATTTTATATAAAAATGATTTACGACCCTTGATTTTGCTCTTAAATAATGAATGAGCAAATGCTTAAATATTGAATTTGAGTCCGTATCTTAACTATCATGTATTTCGATTCACATTTTTTTTATTAGGACAAAACATATTGTAATGACTTCCTGTAAAAAGTTCAGAGAAATGTGAACGAAAAACTAGAAGTATTTTTTTGGACATATTTTATTGAATTTGTTTAGAATATTTTATAGTCTTTGCAGTCTGGGTACCATTTTAAAGTTTTCGTTGGAAGCAATGAAAAATGCTTACCTCTAAAAAATCGTAGAGTTTTTACTAAACTAGAGTTGTTTTCATTGTTTGCAGGTTGGAAAGGCTATAGATAAAAACAAAAAAGTACGAATGAGCAAATGGCATGTTATTCCATTGGATGAGGATCAATTGATGTACGCTGCCATAGACGTTTATGTAAGTTGATACAACGATTTTTTAAATTATTACTAAGAATTTACCTCTACAGATTGGTCAATTAATTTATCGAGAGCTTGAAAGGCGAGCAAAACTTAAAGAAGAAAACGAAGCGAAATTTATTGAGAAAAATGGCGAAGCTGCATTTAAAGCTGTCAAGGCATTGGGTGAAAGTTTCCTTAATGAAAAAGCTGAAGAGGTTGCAATTTAATTCCCAAAGTTATACCAAATGCTGACTGATTTTTAATGTTAATTAAGTTAAGCGCAATATATCATTTATCGTATTCAATTGTTTTTAATTTTGATAAAAAATGTTAATATCCAAAAACTATCAAGTTTTGAGAAGCATCTATTATGGTATCTAATTGTTTATATTTGAGAAAAATCTAAATAAGAAATCATCAAGTTTTGACAAAAATAAAATATTTATTATTTTTGAATATGTATTTAAAAATTAGAAAATATATTGTTGAGGAATTATATACCGCAATTGGGGAATTTAGTTAAATTATGTTATTAGTGGTCTTCGCCGCAGGGCTATAGCCTCTAGTTTACGTTTTAATACCTGATTATCCAAATCGATTTGCCTTTGTTGTTTTTTACGATTTACAGCTGATGTTGTCAGACGAACATTTGTTTGGACATTTGTCTGAAAAATATTCAACATGTTATACATTCATTTTATAAGTATTTCGTTTTTAGAAAAATACCTTAGAAGATTGAGATTTGTGTTGTGCACTCTTTGCCACGTAAGTGGGTTTTTGAGTAAGAATTTTACGCAATAAAATTTGATTGTGACGTTCGATTTCACGCATGCGTTCATTGGAGAAACTCATACTTTTTCGAGGATGTGATTTTACTCTGAAATAGATTAATTCAGTTTAGAAAAGTTGGTAGTTAAAAATGGTTACAAAATTTTAAGAATTTAAATAAAAATAAAAGCGAATAAACTTCTTTTCATTCCAGAAATTAAAATTAGAAACATTACTACCCTTTGAAGTACGCTATGTTACCAAATAAGCATAATAATATAGAAAATATCTGCAAAAATCAAGAAATATCTGATAAAAATGAAGAAACTATTTAGGATTAGTTGTTGTGTTTCAACGAGAAGTGATTTAATTAAAAAATGCGCGGTTGATTGGAATTTTGACTATTTTTCACACAATTTGATTCAATGACCATTAAAACTTACAGGCTTTGGTCTTAACTCTAACCGCATGCAAAAAGCAGCGAAGAATGGACTGTAATTGAGATATGTAGTGCTATTTCATCTATTTCAGAATATTTACCAATCATTTTCAAAAAATATGTTTATATCAACTCAGTGGGTCTAGGCCCAATATTTCGTTGCTTACAATTTTTTTTGGTACAATTAAACTCCACAATTCAGTCTTGTAGGGTATAATTACAATCTTAGCCCTAAGACCACAGAGGGTATATATAATTGCATGTTGCCTCATCAAAATAACGGTTCTAGATTATATGTTTTAAAACATTTGGAGGGGATCTAGTGATATCTTTCTATCTTTCGTTTAGCTTAGTGCAAACTTCGAACAAATTCTAAGATCATCAACATCAGCGAATTTCTTCGTAGAAACTCTGTATTATTCGAAATCAGTTTTAAGAGTTAAAGTAGTATTTTGTTTGAATCCGTGCCAACTTTTATCACAAAAAAAAAAAACATAATTTCAGATTAACTTATGAATTATATTAGAATACGAATTCTTCCTTACATAAATCGTCGATTTTTAAGAAACAGATTTTTCTGGATAAAAAAATATTTGGGTTTTCAGAATATTTATACAGATCTTCCGAACAAATATTGTAATTTTCTATAAAAAATAATATTTTTTCAAGCAGTTAGTTTCATATAACCCCAGACTAAAACTTTGAAGTATTTTCAAGAAACTACTGATACAGGTCTACCTAATAAAAATCATGGATTTTTTCATTTTTTATATTAAAGATCGTTTTTTTTTCAGACATTTCTTTTAAGAGTGTCCTGACAAAACATATCTAATATTTAAGACAATTTTTTGAAAGAAAATTGTTCAAAGGCCTTTTGACTAAAAATAAAAAAGGTCATCGATACGAGAAAGACAATATTCAGAGATTTTTTCAAGAGCCTTCTGGCAAAAAAACTAATTATATAAAAATAGTTTTTACAACTTCTTCTTGAAACATATGACAGTTTTTTTAAGAAGGGCCCCTTGGCCATAATTTATTTTTGGCATTTTTTAAGCAACTCCTGATAAAAACTTCTGGATTGTTTAAGGGTTGAAAATTCCAGGTGCCCGAAGTTTGAAGGAAATCGCTGACTTTGTTCCGCATGTTATGAAAGTTATAATTATTCAGATCTCTGGGATGTGCGATGTTTGAAAAGAATCGCATGTTTAATTTGACTTTCATAAGTGTTATAGTAATTCAAAATTTTGAATTTGGGAAAATACCACAAGGAGTGGTCCGCTACTTTTGAACTTCACACAATATCTTGTGTTGGTAAACATATTGAAATATGCTAAATTTGAAGACAATCAGACTCTCATTTTACATTTCAAAAAAAGCTAAGATTATTCTAAATTTTAACCCTTTGAGGGGGAAGGTACTTGAAGGACTGGACCGATATTGTCCATTTTCGCAGCCGACCTAGCACTGATACAAATTATACGATTTTAAATGTTGCAACAAAATCACATGATCCTGAGATAAATTATTTTCAATTGAAATTGAGAACTTCGCAGAAGTAATGGACTGATACTTCTCATTTCCGAACTCGATATAAGTTTGGTTATAATATTACGTATTAAGTTTGCACCTAAGCGGATACTGCCTTCGAGTGTTATCATGCGCTCGGAAACACCAAGAGCCCGACGTTATTCATTTCTTAGTAATGAAGAACTAAGTTTCTGTGCTTTGTGTTAATTAGGAAAAATATCATGCAGAAAGCAGTTTGTTTACATTATCTTTTAAGAGTTATTCGCCTAATAGAGCTCCCACGTTGTTATACCCACACCATTCCATGGAGGGTATATTAACTTTGTCATTTCGTTTGTAACTCCTCGTAATGCTTATGATAGACCCCACAAAGTGTATATGTTCTGAATTGGCGTAAAATTTCTAAGTCGATTTAGGAATGTCCATTTGCCTGTCTGTCCGTCGTTTGTTATCTTCCGAACAATTTGGGATAAAAGGCTAATGATATTGCCAGAAGTCAGGTTAAGTTCGTAAATGGGCCATGTCGGTGCAGGTTTTCGTATAGCGGGTAGCTCCCGATATTCGATATTTTAATGATTTTAGCGACATTATTCACCGGAATTGTTTCAAATTTCGTATTTGTTGTTCGTAATAGGTACTACAGCCTATGGCAAAAAACTACATATGCCAGCCCACGTCTTCGTATAGCCCCCATATCACAGTGATCATTTAAGCGGTATTTTCAGAATTTGTGGACATTTTTCAAGTTCCTTCCAAAGGTTATTAAAACTTCGGCCCCGCTAAAATTAATTTTTTTTTAAAAATTTTAACTACGAATACTGAGTACATTAATGTCCCATAATTTAAATATTGATCAAATTGTCTCAATATTTGAGAGCATGAATGAAAGAGGTAGATTGTGAAGATTAAGATATATACAACAAATAAACCAATAAATATACCCTCAGAAGGTATATATCACTTGATACGGCCAAAACGTGCCTAATCGAAATAACCGTTTTAGACCTTAGGTCTCTTGGATCGAATTCTTTTCAGGGCATTTGGTGTCAATCTAGCGATGTACGTCCGTCTGTCTGCTGGCTGGTGCGCACCATAACTCTTGAAGGGAGTATCCGATTTGGTCCAAACTATCGTACATCGTAATATCATTATCAAACATGTATCGAGTTCGGAAATGGGCAATATCGGCCCAATCCTTCCGGTATCTCCGCCGCAAAAGATCAAAATTATCAAAAAAAAATATTTTACTGCACAGAAAGAGAAAGGATAATTAGATTTTGCTCCGACTTTGCTAATCCTAATATTTGCATCAGTGCTAAGTAAGTTGCGAGAATGGACAATTACGGTCCACTCCATCAAGTACCTCCTCCACAAAGGGTCAACATTTTGAATAATTATAACTTTTATAAAATGTGACGTAAAAGTGCGATTGTCTTCAAATTACACACATCACAATATTTTTATTAACCCGAGGTCTGGGGTGAAGAAGGAATATATCGGTCCAATCCCTGTGGTACCTCGCCCACTAAGTGCTAAAATTTTGAATATTCATGAAGCTCATAAAGCTTCATTTCGATTCCATTCCATTCAGACTTGACACATGTCAATATTTCTATCCACATAAGATCACGGGGGTATCTTCCCCCACAAAGGGTCAAAGTTTTGAATAGCCAAAACGATTTTAAAATCCGCATCCACTTCTCTTCGTATTTCACGCATCCCATTATTTCTAACACAAAATCTCCTGTTAAAATGGAATATATCGGTAAACTCCTTCTGGTACCTCCCTTGTCAAAGCTTTAAATATCCATGAAGCTTATAAAACTCGAAATCTCCTTCCTCCATCAACACAAGATATGTTATAAAGATGGTAGAGATAAGTCCATTTTTTCTGCCATCTCCCCCACACAGGGTTCCAAAAAAGCTCAAAGAGAGCGAAATAAGTATCCGACTCTCTTTAAATTTCACATATACAAACATTTTTGCTAACACGAGATCTGTTATGAAGATGATATATATCTACGAACCTCTTCTGGTATCTCACCCACAAAGGGTCACAATTTTCAATACTTTTATCTGTCATATCCAACATTTGTTGAGGGTATACATCTGTCAGCTAAACCGACTGATGTTTTCTTACAGATATCCGAATTCTTATTTTTTCATTACTGTTTCTGAATACAAACTACAGCTCTATCATATCCTCCCATAGAATAGCAAGCATTCGGTATTACCTGAAACGATCCGTTGTTGGAGATGGTCTAATGAAATTGGCATGAAAAACATAATCTTCGGAATTAAAGCAGCTGGGTGTTTTGCTGGTTATTTGATATTCAAATTGTGTATCGTAGTAGCTTTCATCTTCGTAATCATTGTCATTATCAACACCTTCCGGAGAAGATGATTTTTCGTGATATTCCAATTCGACTTCCTTGTCACCAGGATCACTGCTTATTTCATCAGTTGCTTTATTATTTCTCTCTTCCACAGAGTTACCTCTATTTTGAGAATCATTTTCAGCATTTGCTTCGTTGCGTTCCTCAAGATTCTGTGATTCGTCGCTCTTCGAATGTGATTTCTGCTGTTCCGACGCATAGGTAATATTTGTAGCATTCATAGCATCGAAAAATGCCTTTGCAATATTTTCAGGGCTCAAAATGTGATTTGGTTCAAAGCTGAATGTCATTCGAATGGAATCATCTGGCCTATGATATGGTTGTGGCAAGTCATCGGTAACAATGGTATCAATTTCTTCGACATCTCTACTTTGGTTTTGTAAACTGGTCAAAGAATTTCCAACGATTTCTACAAAATCTGTTTGAATTTGTTGTGGTATTTGGGGTATGGGTGTAAATTGTTCCATAATTTTGTCGATCAATTCTGGTATGGGATCTATTTCAGATTCCTTGGGTGTTTGTTTTTCAGATCCTAAACTTTCTTCCTTGTGCAGAGAGTTTGAGTCATCCTCGTCTTCCTGGGAACTTTCACTTGCTGAAGTTTTGGAATCTGATTGCACACTTTCCAAACGATTACTGCTACCTTCACTACTGTTGATTTGTTTCGGTGTCTTGGCTGAGTTCTGTAGCA